CCAGCGAGCTACAACAGACAACAGTCAAGTCCTCTCTCGGTAGTTGGCCCTCCTGCCTCAGTCAGAGTTTGCCCTGGCAGGACGGCCCAGAAAGCCGGCATTTTTAAACAGCACAGCTTTTTTCCTGCTACGGCTGAAAACCGAAAAGCATGCGTTCAGCTTTTCACCAACACCGTTTAAGTGTTTCGTGGCAGGACCTCTTAATGAGCTGCAGGGTTTTGCAGCTGAAGCTGAGTCAGGAAGCCTCTCTTAGATGAGAGCGCTTGCTTGCCTCTAGCAAGCGGAGCAGACCCAAGAAATTTCTGCTACCAAGAAAACATGCTTCACTCCATTCTTTCCCAAGCTTTCTCAGGCTTTTTGTGGATTCAGTTAGCCACACGTCTGGGCGCCATCTGTTGAAATAGGAGCGGCGGGGCTGCGTCCCCAACACCCCGGCCGCTTGGCTAGCTCATGCCCGAAATAACAACACACAAACTGTATTCATTTAAAGAACTGCTTGGCCCATGAACTCTAGCCCTTACAGGCTAATTCTCGCACCTGGTCTAGCCCATTTCTAATGATGTGTGTAAGCACCCCAAGGTGCGCTTACCGGAAAGATTCTAGCCTAAGTCCATCGTGGGTTGCAGCTGCCTGGGAGAGCTGAGCATGGCCGTCTCTGCTCCAGCAGAGCTGTCGGGTCTCTCTGGGAGCAGAGCAGAGTCTGACCTCACTTCCTCTTCCGCCCAGAATTCTATTCTGTTTACTCCTCCCATCTATGTTCCAAGCCATGAGGCCAAACAGCTGGTTTATTATAACTTAACCAATGAAATCAACAGATTGATATATGACACTCCCACGTCATGCTGGAAGCTAAACTTGGTAATGTGTAGCATCGTCTGGGTGATACTGGTTTTGAAGATATGAAGGGTTCCTGGAGAATAGCTGAAGAGGTTAGGAGAGGTGATTGGTGAAGGTACAGCCTCAGTTGAGTAGAAGGCCCAGGAATGAAAGCGTCATGGAGAGAAGTTGAGGCTCGGTACCATGAGACAGTCAGAGTCCCAGAGGACAGTCCAGAGAGGTCACTGGTGAAGGTACAGCCCAGTTACATCAGGAGACTACAGTATTTTGGAGATGCCAGTACTATGTATGGGATGACCACCAAGGCGTGGAACAGCTGTGGAGTGGCGCCCAGAAGATCGTGAATCCCAGAAATCTGACCCTGAATCTTATGCTGTTGGATTTTGGTGTGATTGTACTGTGCCTGGTTCTTTCCTCTTGGACTAAGAAAACTTGTACCTAACTTAGTTTTGATTTTACAGCAGCTCAGTTATGAGACCTTGGATATTTTAGAGAGACTGAACTTTTGGAGTGTTTGAATTTGTAAAGATTGTGGGACCTTTAAAGTTTGGAATATGTTTTACATTGTGATAGTGACTTCTTAGGGACAGCAAGAAAAGAGCAGTTATGGTTTGAGAGATGGAATGTAAAATTGATAGGGGTCAGTTGTGCTGGCTAGTTTTATGTAAACTTGACATAAACTAGAGTCGTTTGGGAAGAGGGAACCTCAACTGAGTAAGTTTCCTTGTGGGCAGGCCTTGGGGCCTTTTCTTGATTAATGTTGATATGGGAGGGTACCTATCACTGTGGGTAGTGCCATGTCTGGCCTAGTGGTCCTGGATACTATAAGAAAGCAGGCTGAACAAGCTGTGGGGGGGGGGCAAGCCAGTAATCAGCACTCCTCCACGGCCTTTGTTTCAGTTCCTTTCCTGACTCCCCTGGATGATGGTCTACAAGCTATAAGCTGAAATACACCCTTTTCTCCTCAGTTTGTGTAGGAGGAGGAGCAGCGGGCTTTGTCCACCCAGCTAGCTTATACCCGAAATGATCACACAGAAATTGTATTAATTAAATTACTGCCTGGCCCATTATATCTAGCCTCTTCTTGGCCAACTCTCGCATCCTGATCATTTCCACCAATCTGTGTATCACCACGAGGTCGTGGCTTATCAGGAAAGATTCTAACCAGCATCAGTCTCAGGCAGGAGCTTCATAGCATCTTTCTCTGTCTGCCTTCTTCCTCCCAGCATTCAATTTTCTTTTCCATGCCTACCTAAGCTCTTCCCTATCAAAAGGCCAAGGCAGTTTCTTTATTCAACCAATGAAAGCAACACATAGACAGAAGAACCTCTTACACCAAGTTTGCTTTTGGGCAGTGTTTTATTATAGCAACAGACACCCTGACCATGACACATTCTGAATTCTCTTTCTGATGCTATGCTGTCAGGAGATGTTTATAAAACTTACTGACTCTAGAATTGAGTTTCCCAACAAAGGCAAAAAACTAGAATAGCAAAAACTATTCTGAAAAAGTTAGAGCTATTATACTACCCAGCCTGTGTGTGTGTACATGCTTATATGTGTTTGCATTTTTGGGTGCTGTGTACACGTGTGTGCATGTACATGTGGAGGCCCAAGATCAAACTTCGCTGTCTTCCCTAGTTTTTCACTTTATGTCTTGAGAAGATCTCTCACTGGTACCTAGGGCTTGCTGATCTGCTGGTTCACTGTCCAGCAAGCTTCCAGGGATCAACCTGTCTGCCTCCCCAGCCTGAGAACACAAACACATGCATCCCCATCCCTGAATGGTTATGTAGATGCTGGGGATCATATTCCTGCTTGCATGGCAAGCATTTTAGCAACTGAGCTATAGCCTCCACTGCTGTGGAGTAATCCTCTTGTACACTGTAAAGATTTCTCACTTATTGATTTAATAAAATGCTGATTGGCTGTAGCCAGGCAGGAAGTATAGGTGGGGCAACCAAACTAAGGATGATGGGAAGGGGAATGGTGGAGTCAGTAGACACCAGCCAGATGCAGAGGGAACAGGAGATGACTGTGCCATGCTAATAAAGGTAATGCCATGTCGTAGAGTATAAATAAGAAATGTGGGTTAACTTAAAATGTAAGAGCTAGTTAGTAATAAGCCTAAGCATTTATAAGTAATATTAAACCTCTGAGTCGATTATTTGGGAAGTGGCCACCCCGTATTTGGGAACAGGTGGGCAGGAGAGAAACATTTGACAGCACTCACTCTCTAAACTACCCATTTAACAGTTTCCAAGTGGAAATGTGACTCAGTTATACGATAAAGGACAAATGTCAAGAGAAAAGTGTAATAATTCTCTAATATCTTCTGAGATATGAATGTGAAGAATTAAAATCACATACTCATAAATTGAAAAATACTTGAGAGTAAAGATGTAAAGTCTCTAGCAGTAATAGGTGAGTTGCATTTGATTGCTATAAAAGAGACAACTTTTAAAAACTCCAGATAGGTGAAATGTGACTTTGCCATAAAATAAATCAGTTTTTCTTATTAGTAGATATATATTGAAAAAAAAAAAAAGCTCAGTTGGCCAGGTGGTGGTGGTGGCACACACCTTTAATCCCAGTTCTCGGGAGGCAGAGGCAGATGAATCTCTGTGAGTTTGAGGCCAGCCTGATCTATAAGAGCTAGCTCCAGGACAGACTCCAAAGCTACAGAGAAATCCTGTCTCAAAAACAAAACAAAACAAAACAAAACAAACCCAAAAAAAAAACAAAAAAAAACTCAGTTGGTAGCTCAAGTGTCAGAAGCTTTGGGCTTAGTCTCCAGCACCTCTTAAATCAGGCATGGTGGTTCCTTAGCACTAGGGAAGTGGAGGCAGGAGGATCAGAAGTTCAAGTCATCCTCAGCTACATAGCGGGTTCAAGGCCATGTTGGGATACACAAGACCCTGTTTCAAAAGGAAAGGAAAAAATACACAAAACAGCAGAAGGAAAGAATACTGTTATTATAACCCAAATCTTACCAGTAAACATTTCATAGAAATTTTTTTTTTCATAAAAGGGTTACCTACATAAATGTCCTTAATTTTTGTCTCTTGGTTCAAAGTCTAAATATATTTTCTCTGGTCCTTTGCAGAAAATCCATCCCTACCTTAGAACAATTTTTTTTTTAATTTATTTATTATGTATATAGTGTTCTTGGCACCAGATCTAATTATAGATGGGTGTGAGCCATCATGTGGTTGCTGGGAATTGAACTCAGGACCTTCAGAACAGCAGTCAGTTCTTTTAACCTCTGAGCCATCTCTCCAGCCCTAGAACAATTTTTATAGCAATCACAGGTTCCGTCTGTGCTCTACTTTAGCTGTGGCCCATCAAAATTGATGTATTGCAAATTCATGTCGTTTAACTCAAAATGTTTTCAATTTCCATTTGCTAATGTCGTATTTATTTCATTATTTGGAAATATGTAACTTCTGAGTGTATGGGGATTTTCTTGTAGTCTTTGTTCAAAACTCTGAAATACAACGTGATAAAGACTAATAGGAGCCAGGCGGTGGTGGCGCACGCCTTTAATCCCAGCACTTGGGAGGCAGAGGCAGGCCTGGTCTACAAGAGCTAGTTCCAGGACAGGCTCCAAAACCACAGAGAAACCCTGTCTCGAAAAACCAAAAAAAAAAAAAAAAAAAAAGACTAATAGGAGAGGAGGTGCCTAGTCTCACTGCACCTTGATACGCCATGGCTGAGGATATACATGGGAGCTGCCTTTCCTGAAGAGAAAGGAGGAGGAGTGGATGTGGGGAGGGTGGTGGGAGGGGCTAGGAGGAGAGGAGGGAGGGAGGGGAAACTGACTGGGCTGACAGAAGGTAATTAATCAATCAATGTATGTGTGTGCATGTGTATGTGTGTGACGTGTGAGTACATGGGTATGTGTGGTGTGTGTCTCTGCGTGTGTCTCTGTGTGTGCATGTGTGTGTGTGTCGGTGTGTATATGCATCTGTGTGTGTGTGTCTGTCTGTGTATGTGTTTTTTCAAATGTTCTTCAATAGGTTCTTAGCACGCAGAGTCAATGTCTAATCCATGTTGTGGGGTTTTGCATTGCTGATGAGTCATTTGCTACTGGTGTATTTTGAGTTGTAGTCAGGTGGATCTGCTTCTCTTCTGTATTTACTCATTTTCCTCCCCACCCACAGTTGGAATGCCAAGATGCCCTAGAAACAGCAGCCCGAGTTGAGGGCCTTCCCCTGGATGTCTCCGTGCATTCTCATCTCCGAATTCTGGACGAGGAGCATACCAAGGGAAAGTACCACCATGGCTTGAGTGCCCTGAAGCCCTTCCGGACCACTTCCAAGTAAGTCTGTGTTAGCTAGTGATTCATGCACAAAGCACTCTAAGTGCATTTGAAGTCTTGGGCTAGCGTGAGGCAGCTGGGGAGCCCTAATATTTGTCAGGAGCTCTTTACCAAAAACTACTGTTCACAGGCACCCAGCCTCTCAGTACGTGCTGACACCTCGTGGTCGGATTTTCTCTCCGCAGGCACGAGCACCCAGTTGACAATGCTGGACTTTTCTCCTTCATGACGTTTTCATGGCTCTCTCCTCTGGCCCGTGTGGTGTACAAGAAGGGGGAGCTGTTGATGGAGGACGTGTGGCCTTTGTCCAAGTATGAGTCTTCTGATGTGAACTGCAGAAGGTAGGTGCCTCTGGTCCACCTAGGCCTGAGCTAGGTGGGTGGGCCAGCAGTGTGGAGTCTGAAGTGCCAAGGGTGGATAGCCTGTGGACTCTTTCCCTTTCCGTACCTCTGTTTCCCTCTAATTGTGTTTTAACCAAGGGCTTTCTCTCTCAGCCCTGCTTCTCTTCCTGAGCTGGCAGGGAGATTTTGTCGCTGCCTTGTGACAGTACATTTTTGGTGGTAGTCTCATTAAAACTTAGTTCGTAGCATTGCATTTTATCACAGGATCCTTCAGAAAGGGTTGGGAGCCCTTGAGAAAGGAAGTTCTTATCCGCACACTTTATTGAAGGGTGGTGGGAACGGCTCCTGCTCTCCTAGTTTTCTATACTGCAAACACTCCCTTTGGGAGTGAATATTCACAGGCCAGGAGGGACTTTTTCTCTACGAGATGGAGGCTGTGTGTATAACTGTAAAGGAGAGATTTGTGTATACAGCGCCCGAGCCTATGATGGCAGGAGGGGTCAAGGGTGTGTCCTTTCCTGGGGAGATGTGTAACACAGGACCTGTGTCCTTGTTAAGACTGGAGAGACTGTGGCAAGAAGAGCTGAGTGAAGTGGGGCCCGCCGCCGCTTCCCTGCGAAGGGTTGTGTGGATCTTTTGCCGCACCAGGCTCATCCTGTCCATCATGTGCCTGATGATCACGCAGTTGGCTGGCTTCAGTGGACCAGTAAGTTCTAACTGTCCTTTCTGAACATCTCAGGGGCCCAGCCATGGCCAGCGCTAACCCTGTTGTTCTGTTGCAGAGGTTGTGATCGCCTTTGGGCTATAAGCAGCCTCAGCGGTCCTTCTAGGACTACTGAAGAGGGTCAGTGAATCTGGGCGTGAATGGTGGCTTGTCAGTTAGAAGGATGAGGACACAGGGCTGCAGGAGAAGAAAGCACTGGCTTGTTTTCCTGGGGCTGGGTGAATCTGAGCTGGTCCTGGGCCTGCACAGGACCTGCCTGTTGGCTGTGTGCAGATATGATGCAGATGTCGCGGCAGGGCTGTGAGTGAGGGAGTAAGCCGAGTGTTGTGTGGCACGGGCTAGCAAATTTGGTGCCATACCAGGTGCCTAGGGGCACAGTTACTATGTTCAATGACTCTAAGAAATGATCCCTGAAGAAGCCGGGAGGCTCTCAGGGTTTGTAAGAGTCGGTTCTAGTTTTGCATAGCGTTAACTGTGGCAGGCACTGGGTGGCAGTGTGGTTTCCCAGCCTATGTGGAGGCAGTGCAGTAGCTAAGGGGGCTTTGGAGAGGAGTTTTCAGGGTACCCTTCTCTCATCTGCTGTACTGCCTGACACTTGAGACTGTGATTGAATTCATTCTCTGCATATTTGCCTTGAGGCATCGGAGCAGTAGTACTGTTTAGATGTGCGTTTCCGTGTGTGGTAAGCTGGAGGTTCATGGTGGGGTAAGTATGTGTCTAAGATGCATGGTGACTAGGTAAAACTAATTTATACGTTTCAAGTGTCCTGTTCTTTTTTTTTTTTCCTTCTTTTTAATGTGTGATCTTTTAAAAAATAAAAGTTTTGGTATTAGGTTTCTTAATTGACCAACTAACACTTGTATATAAGTTTTAAACAAAAGGGACCATGTAACTGAAATGTTGTTATTAGCTAAGATGGCAAATGTTTCCTAGAGCCAGCTTCCCCCAAGAAGAGCTTCTGTCATTGTTTCACTACAGGGCTGGTGGCTGCTCTGACTGTCACAGAGGTTTTTTCATCTAGGTAGAAGAGTGTGTAGCATTTGTCCATACAATCACAATGGGCTTTCTTAATTCCCCTTTTCTCAAAAAACAAGCAAATAAACAAAAAACGAAAACAAAAAGCCAGGGATTTTAGGGATTAAATCTTTACTCCAGAAAACGAAATTACAAAGTGCATGCTCCCTTTGGTGTCATGGAGGTCACTCCCTCAGGCGTCTGTTAAGTTCTTAATCTTTCACTTCTGATGCAGCAGGCAGGGTGCTGACTTGGACAACTGTTCTAGGTGGCCACAGAAAGCCCAGGGCCTCTCCAGGACAGGAGCACGCGACACCTCACTCTGCCCTTTGGGAAGAAAAGTCAATGGGCCTGAGAAAGCTGCAGGCTTGTCCATTGTCTCTCTATGAAAATGATGTGGAAGTGTAAACAATATAACTCTTTTTTGGAACCCTAATCTTGATAAGTTTTTATGACTGGAAATTGGAGAATCAGGCTGGTTTTGAAAAAAAAGAAAAAAAAGAAAAATGCAATCAGCATTAGTGGTCTGCAAACCTCCTGTAGGTAGACCTGGGTCCTTTTGAGGAACATCCTGTGTTAGATTTTTGCACATTTTCTGTTTGAGCATGATTTCCAGATTGGCTTGTTCTGTTCGTACCAAAATCTTACCCTAAATTATAGGCTCCAAACATGGAACATCCTTTTAGGTCTCATTGAGCCTTGGTAGTCATACACAGAACAAATGAAACACAACTAAGTTGTATTTGTGTGTGTTTAAACATGGTCATTTGATGCTGACCTCAAAAATAGCCCAAGGTTTTTAAAGCGCCAACAACCAGCCCTCTAAGTAGGGTGTCAGGGTCGTGATAATGTTAGCACGCTACCAGACTTTTTAAGAGGCAGATCACTACATTTACAGAGATGTTTTGAGAGCCTTCTTAGACTAAGGTAGTTGTAGAAGGCCGGGCCTCACCTAGGGTTTGTGTCCAGAGAGTTAGCACCCGCCATAAACCTCCTAGAGCAGCCTGCCCTCTGCAGTGCTAACTGCTCCAGGCCTTGTGGGGGAAAGCTCAGTGAGAAGCCCTGGGAGAGGTAAGTTCCCACCCTCCAGCCTCTCTCCGGCCACAGCTCGCTTGATGCTGTCAGGACTGGACGTGGGGGGAGCGTCTCTGTAGTGGGACCAGTGACAGAAGCTGTTCTTTAGAATTTTCAGGATGGCTGTATTCTGCGGTCAGAATGAGAGAGTCAAGCTGGGCAGAATCTCTCCAAGAGCTCAGGTAAGGTAACGTTCTCCCTGGGAACGCTTCCCACAGCAGGACAGCTGTGCTGGCGGTTGCAGTCCCTCCAATTGCTTTAGATTTGAATGATAAACTTAGGGCTTTTTATTATTTTTTATAAAAAAAAAACAAAACAAAACTGAGTTTGTTTGGATTTTTCATGAAAACCTGCTTTTCTTTCTCCCATACAAGCACATTTGAAATGTCATTGCTTTTTAAAACCCTGTGTTGGACATTTCTTTACCTCTTTCTCTCCCCCTTTGAAAGTTTTGCATAGTGTAAATGTGCCTTTGTCTCTCATCTTCCCTTCTCCTCCCTGTTGGGGTGGGCTAACTGCTTATCCTGTGCTGAAAGGGGCACCTTAAAGATATAGGAGGGGCCGAGTCCTTCCAGACCACCTGCTGGCCTTCCTTGGAGATCTCCTCATTGCTGCTGTGTGTGGGAAAGTGCTGCACCGCAGGCCATCCTGCTGAGTTGCTTCACCAGAGGAAGAGGGGCTTTGGCCTCGGGACCCAGTTCCACATTTTGGATGCATACTGGAAAAGAAGCCAATTTTGCTAGTAAATCTGTGCAGTGAGGGCCAAAGAGCGAATCTCAAAGTTCCAAGGGAAAGTAGAGTTGATTACAGGAGTTCTTAGAGTCTGAAACCCCCCCGGTTTATTTACTGGGGCTTGACATGACCCTAACTGTGGGGATCTAGTAGACAGTTTGGTATTAAGTTACTTTCAAGAAAACTGACTTGAAGAATTACCCAGAATCTGGGTTCTGGAATTCAGTGTTAGATACTTGAGGATGGTTGATACAGCTGGCTTCTGCCGTATGTCAGTTAGTAGCTTACAGACCCAGCCAGCGCTCCTTGCTGTAGGAACCAGAGTAGATGGGTACATGGGTTTAATTTCTTTTCTCTTTTAAGGTGGGCATGGGTTTGGATTTTGTTAAAGTTTGTTTGATTTTTGCCAACATCAGTTTTGGCTAGCAGGCCTTGAAAAGACTCCGAAGGATGTCAGTACCCCTGCCCCATCCGCCCGAGAATTCTGTGCTCTGGAGCAGAGTGTCGCCTCGCAGCTTAGCATGCCAACAGCACCTGCAGTTTTATGCAGGGTACCTCGTTAGGGGATTTTTAGTTTCTTTCTTTTTTTCCTTAATCTTCTTTCTTTAGCAGCAAGGTCTTTATTGCTAGAGAATCTCCTTGACGGCAGCATCAGGATTCCCATCTGATGAACGCTGCCAGCCTGATGTGCTACGTCAGACTCTGGAAGCAGACATGGCTCTGTTGTGTATTTCTACTGTGTACAGTTACAACTTGGAGGCCAGACGGCCCGTGTGATGGCTATCCCTGTATGACTCTGTATGTTCCCACTGTATGTTCCCAATGCCCCTGCTATTGTACAGTGTTTGTGAGATGCTCTTTAAAGATGGTATCTTTATACATACATCTATATCATTTTCAATAAAAGTGCATTGCTTCCCACATGCTGGTATTTACTGCTGTTGCTGAATGTGCCTGTGTGAGTGTGTGCCCCGGCGTTGCAGGACCCGTAGAGCTGGAGGTGCACTCGTGGTTCTTGGGGGCTGGCTGTCTTCCCTCCCTGCAGGTGGTGTTAGACATATGCTACCTGAGGTAACATGTTTTTGTTTTTGAGAGGGCGTGGGCGTGGGGAGGGCTGGAGGGAGGGTCTCTGGAGTTTGCTAGTCTGCTCTGTTTGCTCTCTTCTGTCCTATTAAACTGCCCATGTTTGTTTTCAGGGATGTTTTGCACTTCTCACTCTTCCCCGTACAACTGTAGGTACACTGTTCCTTCTTATCAAATAAGCACGTGTCAAGAGGAAGGTCTTGATTTCATTTAAAGAAATGTAGTCCTGTGTGAAGATTCTGGAGTAAGGTCATTATATACCTTTGGATGACCATGTGTCTAGAATTAATTTCAGCTCATGGACAGGTTTATGTTACATTAGAAAGAGTAGTGGTCATGGTGGCGCCCTTCAGGAGTAAAGCAAATGATCCCTGTGTCCTGCACCTGCGGGCAGGTTGCCGGTAATATTTGGTCCATCATCACAGTTTTTTCTTTGCTTACACGCTGATCACTGTGCCGTGGAGCAGCCTGCTCTTTCTAACCTAACATAACACTGTGGCATTGTGTGCGGTTACCATGGGGGACGTTGACAGTTGTGTATGTTTCTCCCTGTAGGCCTTCATGGTGAAACACCTCTTGGAGTACACCCAGGCAACAGAGTCTAACCTGCAGTACAGCTTGCTGTTAGTCCTAGGCCTCTTTCTGACAGAAGTTGTACGCTCCTGGTCACTTGCGCTGACTTGGGCATTGAACTATCGAACTGGCGTCCGGTTGCGGGGGGCTATCCTGACTATGGCATTCAAGAAGATCCTGAAGTTAAAGAACATTAAAGAAAAGTCTCTGGGTGAGGTAAGTTCAGAACCAGTGTGTGCCTTGTTCCCAGAGCGAGCTCTCAGCTTGAGTTCCTCTTTTCCTTGACCTTCTGAATACAATGACCCGTGTCCTACAGGGTCCCTCACTGTTTGTCATGTCTTACAGCTCATCAATATCTGCTCCAATGATGGGCAGAGGATGTTTGAGGCGGCTGCTGTGGGCAGCTTGCTGGCCGGAGGACCTGTTGTTGCCATCTTGGGCATGATTTATAATGTAATCATTCTGGGACCAACAGGCTTCCTGGGATCAGCTGTTTTTATCCTCTTTTATCCGGCCATGGTGAGTGAGCCTCTCTCAGCCGCATCTTGGTCGCTTCTTCACAGGGGACAAAGTGCTTGTGCTGAGCACATCCTTTGGGACTTTTCGTGGGAAAAGTCCAGTGCTGGGCAGTGCTGTGTTCATATGGGCAGGATTTGGGCTGGAGGGGAAATAGCTGTCATTTACACAAAAGGCAGGCACTGTGTGAAAGCAGAGTGTGTCTAGGTGGAGCAGAAGGTTCCAGTTGAACCTAGCATCCTCCTAGCACAGGAGCCATCAAATTGAGTTGCCGCGTGTGTAGCTGATGCTGACGTGACTGTCCTGATGCCACCATGGTGGCACTCACTGTCTGTGAGGTCAGATTGTTAACTGCCTTCATTGCCCTCCAAGGAAATGAGAATGAAATATTTTGTAACCCAGGAAGTCCCTTTAATTAAAAAGCAGCACCACTCTGAAATCTGGTTTGCCCTGGCACAGGATTATATGCCCTCTCGACTTAGACTGCTGTGATCAGACCCAGCGGTGCTGCAGTCCGAGCAGGTGCCTGTTTGACCAGGTGCTGTTTTCCTTCCAGATGTTCGTGTCGCGGCTTACTGCATATTTCAGGAGAAAGTGTGTAGCTGCCACAGATGACCGTGTCCAGAAGATGAATGAAGTTCTCACCTACATTAAATTTATTAAAATGTATGCCTGGGTCAAGGCGTTTTCTCAGAGTGTTCAAAGTGAGTTTACAGTACAGTACAGTACTCCCCTGTGGGTACAGTAGAGGAGTTTGGATTCTGTGGGCTGTTCATTCCTGTGCTTTGCTTCCTGAGCACATTAGAAACTAGACCACTGATGTCTCGTATCTTCCTATAGAATCTTCTATGTGTAAAGAGCACTTAGGGGTTTGAACCTGGGAAACTGAGTTTTGCCCAAGCCAGCTAGAATGCTGAATACCAGTCGAGCTGTAATAATCCAGCTCTTACCCAGTACTTGATTTCTGGCCCGACTGAAGCTATTGCAGAAAGCACTGTCAGGGTGATTGCTAAGACCCTGCTCTTAAGCCTCTTAGTGCATAGGTGCCAGAGGTGTGTGACCTTGAGGGATGACCTGGGCTTCAAGACACCCGGACTCTGTGCCTCCCTCTGTTACTTACTAGGGACTTGTTTTGTTAGCTTTTAAAATGATTGATACAGTTACAGGGTTCTCAGTGCCGGCTCCATTCCCACGTTCACGTTCAGTACAGGCACAGCATGTGAAGTATGTACCTAGTACTAGCCTGTAGGGTAGCTAGCATGGCACTGGCATTCACATGGGTCTGAACATGAGAGGGACAGAGTGGCATTTAAGAAGAAGAAGTTTAAAGATACCTCAGATTAATGTGTATGTATAATTAATATATACTGAAACTAAAGTTTATATATATATTTAATATATAGTATAACTATATAACATAAATATATAAACTTTAATCTTAGTAAAAAAGGACTGTTAATGAACTAAATGGCATAGTAACTAACTATTAATGCTGTAGACAGTTCGTAGCATTTTAAGTAGAATAAAAATTATTCTGTTGATTCCAAGGCAGCTGGTTTGGTTACATTGATTAAATCTTCAGGACCTTATTTGGACTCTGATTTTATAAGGCTGTTAAGCATCCCAGAGCAAATAATAAATAGTAAGAAGGTAAGCAAAGAAAACTGCCAGGTGTCAATGCAAGTAAGGGGTTTGTTCATTGAAACCCAGTAGACTGCTGCCAACCAGAAGGCAGTGGACCAGTGTGCTGATGACTTGATCCATTTCCGCCTCAGTTGTAATGATAGCATTGATAGTCCTAGGGTTTGGTCTGTACCATGCTTGCCTCATACACATATGACCCTAGTCTAACTGGAAGAACCGGTAGAAAAGAATTGATATTTTTCCATCATAGGTATTGAAGAGTCGCTTAAAAACCTGTGTGTGTCCTAGCATCATGGCTCTTGGGGGCTGCAGAAGGAAAATTTCCATTGCAGAACAACCTATGCTCCATAGCAAGCCTTGTCTTTAAAAAAAAAAATTGTAGTTGAAACCTGATTCTTCTTTGGTGGTAGAGAACAATATCCCAAAGTATGTTTTGACCTGCTTTGAGGATGGATTGCTTTTCCATAGAAATCCGAGAGGAGGAGCGTCGGATACTGGAAAAAGCAGGGTACTTTCAGAGCATCACCGTTGGAGTGGCCCCCATTGTGGTGGTGATCGCCAGCGTGGTGACGTTCTCTGTTCACATGAGCCTGGGCTTCCACCTGACCGCCGCGCAGGTGAGGAGACACTGCATACGATCCTCTTGTTATTGCATCGGGACTGTTAGCTACCAAGAACTAGGTGGCTTTTTTTCATTCATGTTTTTAAGTTGAAAAGTGGAAGAATAAGGAGCTACCCCTTATACAGAAATCATGTGGCTAATTTTCAGTCAGCCTGTGTTTGGGTTCAGTTTTGGGACTACAGAAGAGCCTGTATTTCATGTTTATTAAGAATTTTCAATGAAAGTCTCATTCAAAATAAAACAAAAACCCTCCCTTTAAAATACAAATGTGAGCTGGAGAAATGGATTAGAGGTTAAGAGCATGTACTGCTCTTGCAGGGGTCTGGAGTTCAGTTCCCAGCACCCACAATGGGCTGCTTACAACCATCTGAGACTCCAGTTCCAGGAGATCTGACACCTCTTGGTTCTGAGGACACCCTTTTCATGTGCACATAATTCACATATGTATACACACTGATTAGGAAATAAAACTTTAAAATATGTAATTGAGGCTGACTAGATAGTTCAGTGGGTGTAGGCACCTGCCACAAGTCTAGTGACCGAGTCCAGTCACTTGAACCCACATGGGGGAAGGAGAGAAGCAGCTTTTGTAAATTGCTCTCTGACCTTCACACATGCGCTGTGACACACTCGCTGTGACACACATGCGCTGTGACAAACTCGCTGTGACACACACGTGCTGTGACACACTCGCTGTGACACACGTGCACTGTGACACACATGCGCTGTGACACACACGCGCTGTGACGTACATGCTCTGTGACACACGCGCTGTGACACACGTGCTGTGACACACACGCGCTGTGACACGCGCTGTGACACACATGCGCTGTGACACACTCGCTGTGACACACGTGCACTGTGACACACATGTGCTGTGACACACACACGCTGTGACGTACATGCTCTGTGACACACGCGCTGTGACACACACGCGCTGTGACACACACGCGCTGTGACACACACGCGCTGTGACACACACGCGCTGTGACACACACGCGCTGTGACACACACGCTGTGACACACGCGCTGTGACACACGCGCGCTGTGACACACATGAACCTCCCATCACACAAAACAGGTTATTTTATTTTATTTTATTTTATTTTTTTTTTTTGTTTTTCGAGACAGGGTTTCTCTGTGGTTTTGGAGCCTGTCCTGGAACTAGCTCTTGTAGACCAGGCTGGTCTCGAACTCACAGAGATCCACCTGCCTCTGCCTCCCGAGTGCTGGGATTAAAGGCGTGCGCCACCACCGCCCGGCCTAAAACAGGTTATTTTAGTGTGACCATTTGTGCTAACATTTGATAGTTCCAGCCTTGCTGCCTCCCGAAAGGAGACTGGCGCCGCCTTGTCTAGTGTATAGCCTCACGAGGCTCGCTCTCACCTCTTTTTGTGTTTTAAGGCCTTCACAGTGGTGACTGTCTTCAATTCCATGACTTTTGCTTTAAAAGTCACACCATTCTCTGTGAAGTCCCTCTCTGAAGCATCCGTTGCTGTTGACAGATTTAAGGTAAGTGGTTGCTGTCCCTCTCCTGTATCAGGAGCTATCCTCAGCACAGCTCACTGCATCCTGTATTCCAAGAGTCCACGTAGGCCAGCTGCATTTGATCTTGGTTTGCCCTAGGAGCTGGTAGAGACAACCGAATTAAGGGATGAGAGTAATGCCTTTTAAAATGAATGTATTTTTATCTCTCCTGATTGGCCTGGTTCTAGGCAGTTCTCCCTTTCCAGAGGGAACTCTTCTGCCAGGCCCAACGTGGACATATATTGTCATTTACTCAGCCTGTAAGTGGCTTACTGTAGGCCAGCACAGCCAAGTGGCTGTCAGATTCCCCCACCCTCTTCCTCATTCCTGCTGCCACTTGGATTGGTCGCTATGCTGAGTCCTTTTGATATTTCTTTTTCCTACCCAGTGATTGCCACTACATGAGGCAGGGAACGCAGTGACATGGAAATAGTCATAAAGCTAGCTCATGTTGAGAAGTACAGTTAAGTAAGTATCAGCTCTCTTCCTTGCGTGGTTAGTTATCAGACCTTTTGTGTTCTGTGTACCTTCCAAATAATGCAACTGCATAACACAAGACGGAGCTGCTGGGAGGGCGGAGGGAAGTAGGCATTGATGAAAGTGGTTAACACTTACTACTGAACAAGGAGAAGCACTGTGTGAGCTAGAATTCACTGACAGAGCCTCACTCCCGATGATCTATCGCCCTTGGCCAGCGAGGTGAATTTAGGAGCAGCTCTGGTGATGTGGAGAGTGAAGCTCCAGGGCTTGAGGCTGGGGAAGGACCGGGGTGCCCCTGTAGAGGGTGGAGAGCAGTTGTTGGAATTATCTCCATTGTTGCCTTCTACAGTTAACCAGGCGACTTGCATGAGAAAACCGTTCCTCCAGAGTGTACTCCTGTCTTGTATTCCTCTCCCCTCCTGGCTGCTCAAACAGGAGCTGGAGTCACATGAGGTCGATTTAATGTCAGTCAGAGCTTTGATTCTCTGAAGCCACAGTATCCAGTCATGGAAGAAAGCGAATATTCTGACCAAAGGTCCCCATTGCTTCTGTATCCTTGGTAGTGGATGGGTTTTGTCAAGTTTTGAATAAAAAATAAAGACAAAAAGTAATTTTGTGACCCTCTAGTTTTTGAAGTTTCTCCTCTTAAGTGAGAGCATATATTGTCAGGTGGCACAGGCATATTTATACTGGAAAAGGAGTTTTTGTGTGGCTGGAATCCGAGTTTAACAGTGTGTTGTGTGGTATCTGGCAGCTCCGTGAGCACTCCCACTCCCCCACACTGACCTGAGTTTTCTGATGAGCGAAGTGTGCGGCTTTTCTCCCTTGGTTTGTAGAGGGCCTTGTTTTGGGACAGGCTGGCTGCTCGTTCACAGTTCTGCTGCCTCAGCGACCGGTGGACCCCCCACCGAGGGGCTCGGAAGTGGTGACAGTGGTCAGCACCCTCGTGGAAAGTGGCACTGGCAGTGTCTGTGTCTGGGACTGCTGTCCTGGCAGTGTACCTCTCAGCTGAGTGTCCGCTCAGCGTGTCAGCACTGTGAGAAGCAGGTGGGAGGACCGGGAAAGCTGTGCACACTAGCAGGCACCAGTGCTTCTCTTAACCGTTAGTGAGGCGTGTCTTCATCCTTCTAATGACACGTTAGGGAAGGAAATGGAGGACGTTTTATCCACGTGTGGGTTTGTTCTTTGGAGGTGTCAGGACAGTTGATGTCATCCTCAGCCCAGTGTTTAGAAGGCTCTGGATGTGTGAATTCCATAGCTGTTCACAGATGGGGTGTCCCCTAGGCTCTAGCCACAGTGAAGGCTCTCTGGGCAGTTGGGATGGTTAGGACACATGGAGGTTTACAGGGCGAGAGACTGCGGTCCCAGCTGTGGCGGCAGGAGGGTCAGGGACTAGGGTCATCCTCAGGTGCTTAGGGAGCTTGAGGCCAGCTGGAACTACACGAGACCCTCCCTTTTTTTCTTTTAAGATTTATTTTAATTATTTCTTTTATTTTTGAAATTATAATTACATAATTTCTCCATCCCTTCCCTTCCTCCAAACCCTCACATATATCTTTTGTTGCTCTCTTTCAAATTTATGGCCTGTTCTTTTCATTGTTTTCATATATGTCATATACATATATGTCTGTCTGTATGTGTATGCATATATGTGTGTATGCATATATGCGTGTATGTATATATGTGTATGTACATATATTCCTAAATATATAAATACAACCTGGTCAGTCTGTATAATGTTACTTATGTGTGTTTTCAGAGCTGACCATTTGGTATTGGATAACCAGTTAGTGTGCTGTCCCTGAGAAGGACTATGTCTCGACTCTTTAGAATTCCTTAGTTACCTATAGTTCTTTGTGTAGGGGTGGGGCCTTGTGGGCTCCCCACCCCTGTCTGTGTTAGCATGTCTGTTGCTGTTCTTGTTCAGTTCAGCGAGACCCTTGCTTAACCCTTCTCCTTGAAAGCAGATTCTAGGATCCAGGAGAAAGGGAAAAATGAGATACTCCATTATATACATAGTGCTTGTGAACTTTAAGTTGGGGTATTTAGTGAGTAAGCAGAGTCCTCATCCTGCAAGCCATCTTTTCTCTAAAGATTTTAAAATGTTTTAAGTTAAATTAAAAAAATCTGAAAATTCCTCTGTGATGGAGCGCTGTAAAAATTCCTTGTTTAAGAGGGGTCCGAGTATAACCAGAATCAGAATCTCAGCTCTAACTTCAGCCATGCTTCCTTGTCTGATGTTCCATTTCCTCCCTCTGAAATAACTCAGTAGGAGCTGCGAGAAGAGCCTTACACTCCTCCTATGAAGCTGTTCTCAGGGAGGTACCTTCTCTTCCATGCAGGCCCTCAGCTTAGGTGTTTTCTAAGCCCAGCAATTAGGCTGGTGCCCGTCTCAGTTCAGCCTCTCTCAATAGGTGCCAGGCTATGGATGAGGGCAGTAGGCAGGCATTCGCTCTACAGAAGTGGTCTGGAAGGACAATGGCATGGTGACGGTCTGTGTACAGGGTCAGCCTACCCCTGGGGTTTCCCAGCCATCACTCAGGAACCTACAAGTGATCGTACGAGGGACTCCATATCCCCGTCAGTTATTAAGCGTCCTTCGGTCCACATTAGGCCAGCAGAAAAAGCAGGGTACCTTAGTGTGTAACTTCGCCTAGGGGGTAGGGTAGGTCAGTGGACGAGGCCCTGAGATCCCGGGTCAGTCCTGAGATGAGGCTACACTAATGAGCTACCTTTTGCTCTTCAGCTTCCTTCCACTGTATAGCCTGATGTGTTTTGCTACGTGAGTGTACGCCATAAGCTTGTCTCCCTGGTCTTGATCCAGTGACTCACCTTTGCACCTCTCTCACAACTCCTATCAGAGTTTGTTTCTAATGGAAGAGGTTCACATGATAACGAACAAACCGGCCAGTCCTCACATCAAGATAGAGATGAAAAATGCCACCTTGGCATGGGACTCCTCCCACTCCAGTATTCAGAACTCGCCCAAGCTGACCCCCAAAATGAAAAAAGACAAGAGGGCTACCAGGGGCAAGAAAGAAAAGTCGAGGCAGCTGCAACACACTGAGCACCAGGCGGTGCTGGCAGAGCAGAAAGGACACCTCCTTCTGGATAGTGATGAGCGGCCCAGTCCGGAAGAGGAAGAAGGCAAGCAAATTCCTACAGGGAGCCCGCGCCTGCAGAGGACGCTGTACAGCATCGACCTGGAAGTTGAAGAGGTGAGAGCCATCTGCTTGTACCTCTCCACTGTCTCCTGCGTCACCCCCCTCTGTAGGACCCTCCCTGCTTGTATCCCGCTCCCACTGTCTCCTGCGTCACCCCACTCTGTAGGACCCTCCCTCTAAGCAGAGTACTCTGGCTGTGAGTGGTTTTGCATCAAGAGTAGATAATGAGCAACAGGATTAATAACTGATGAGCTCCTGAGATGCTCATTTTACTAATGTGGAGATGAAGCCCTCACGTGGCTCCTCAAGCCCCTGCTCTGTGCGATCTTCTGGCTGCTCTATGTAAGCTGTTCTTATTACAGCCACTGCTGTAACTGTGTGGGATCCTTATTACCACCAGGGTGTACATCACAGAGAACTTGGCACAGAAAGGGTATTCTCAATGCTGCCTTTTTTCCTTTTTATAATTTTACATGTCCACCTGTAGGTGCCATTGGAGGCCAGAAGACAGTGAAGGTTCCCTGTAGCTGGGGTTACAAGTGGTCGTGAGCCAACTGATGTGGGTGCTGGGGACTGACCTCAGGTCCTCAGGAAAGCTGCATGTGCTCCTAACCACTGAGCCACGTCTCTAGCCCCCTCAGTGTTGCTCTTAACAACGATATTGTGATTGTTTTTAAATATGAGTGAAAGATGATTTGGGTATCTAATATAGCTCGCTCAGCTAATACAGACCTGGACTCTCAAAGCATGGCTGAACAGAGATTTCAGGTTGAGGTCTTAATTAAGATTCAGTCTATGACTACATCTAGGGGCCCCAGATGGACATTCATTCAGTAGCTTTTTCTTTCTTTCTTTCTTTCTTTCTTTCTTTCTTTCTTTCTTTCTTTCTTTCTTTCTTTCTTTCTTTCTTTCTTTCTTTTCTTTCTTTCTTTCTTTCTTTCTTTCTTTCTTTCTTTCTTTCTTTCTTTCTTTCTTTCTTTCTTTCTTTCTTTCTTCCTTCCTTCCTTCCTTCCTTCCTTCCTTCCTTTCTTTCTTTCTTTCTTTCTTTCTTTCTTTCTTTCTTTCTTTCTTTCTTTGTTTTTTGTTTTTCAAGACAGGGTTTCTCTGTGTAGCTTTGGAACCTGTCCTGGAACTCACTCTGTAGATCAGGCTGGACTCGAACTCTCTGAGATCAGCCTGCCTCTGCCTCTTGAGTGCTGGGATTAAAGGCGTGTGCCACCGCCTGGTGCCAACTTTACATCAAATACTGTTGGAGGGTTGAGAGTCCAGCAGCAAAACCTCCGCAGTCACAGCTCCCTCTCTGGTATTTCCATTCTAGTGGACAGACACAAAGAAGCGAATGGAACATTCTGTGTCAGGCTGTGATGACAAAGGAGCTGGAACAGCGACTCTTGTGCTCGCATTTCCAACTGGTTTTCTAAGGAGAGGCTCTGTCTGAAGAGTGGTTTAGCCAGGCCAGGTGATACACGTCAGTAGTCCCAGCTCAGGGGACGCTGAGGTGGAATCACTATGAGTTTGTGGCCAGCCTGATACATGGTGACACCCTGTCTAAAAAGGTGATGGGGTGGGCATAACAGAAGCATAGAGGCTGCCATCAGGAGTGTGCTGGTTGGTGACACAAGGAGCGTGGAAGATGACAGCAGGCCATGAAGATGAAGAGCAGTGGGGCTGAGTCTCCCATGACACTCGGGTGTCACCCGCGGAGGAAGAAGGGTGATGGAGAATTTGCAGAGTTGGCTGTGACTTACACATGACCTGCTGGGTTCAGAAGAATGTGCAAAGAGACAAGGAAGGAAACGGGGAGAGCCCTAAGGGCTGCTCCTCTAGTGCAGGAGACGGGCGAGAGTCTGGAGGCAAAGGTGACAGAAGGATGCTCTGAAGCAGGGTATTGCAGCATCGGGGATACTAGTGGTGCCTTGGGCAGACCCAAGGAGACAGCAGAAAGCTTTCTGCTCTTAGCAAGACAGTCCTTGATGGTCACCTGAAACTCTCAGTGCAGTTCATCACTTACAGCTCCTTGTCGGTTTTCATTTCACTCCTAGCAAGCGTCTTATTTGATAACTGTTCCTGATTGTCGGGGCAGTTCCACTGTATCACTGGTCAGCTCTTTTAGGTAATGGCTTCTCCTCTTCAACTGGAATTTACTCTTCTGTTTGTAATGGAATACTTGATTCAGTGACTAACTAACCTTCCTCCGGTGCTCAGAGCCCAGTGAGGGAGACAGAGACACAGGTGCTCTGGAGCATTGGGACACACAATTAGCAGATGTGGGTAGAGTTGGAATTCTAGTCACCTACTGCTCTACCCTGCCTCCCACTCTTGGGGCCTTGATCACCATCACATAGGACTGTCAAACAAGTAGTTCTCTTTAAAAGTCAGCTGTTGAGCATGCAATGGTGGAGCACGCCTTTAATCCCAGCACTACGGAGGCAGAAGCAGGTGGATCTTCGTGAATTTGAGGCCAGCCTGGTCTACAGAGTGAATTCTAGGACAGCCAGCGCTAGAGAGATACCTCAATAGTTAAGAGCACTGACTGCTCTTCCAGAGAACCTGGTTCAATGCCCAGCAAAGCCAGGTGGCTCACAACTGAGTGTAATTCCAGTTCCAGGGACTCTGACATCCTCTCCTGGTCTCTGCACACAAGGGGTATATAGACATACATGAAGGCAAAATGCACATACATATAAGATAAAAAGAAAAAGACATTTAAAAGTCAATGGTCTTTGAAAACTTACAGCATTACTGAGTGGGGACTTACCATCTTACCTTCTTAGACAGTTGGCTCTCTATACCTATTGGTTGCAAAGCTATACATCCAAACCAACCAGTTAGAAATATTTGTGAAACAGCTGTATATACTGAGCACAACAACTCTTTTTCTTGTCATTATTCCTTAAGCAATTTATAGCAACTGTTTCCATTGTATTATATATGTTATATGTAACCTAGGGGTGATTTAAAGTTGCTAGGAGGGTCTGTGCAAGCCATATGCATATAGACACACATGGTATATAGACACACGTGGTATATAGACACACACGTGGTATATAGACACACACGTGGTATATAGACACACGTGGTATACAGACACACAGACCTTGGGCATCTGCAGGCTGGGTCTTGATATTGGTTGTCTGAGGACACTGAAGATGTCTACTTAGAAACTCACAGACTTTGTGTTCTACTTTTCTGGGGTATTGATAGTGTAGATATTCCTCATGTTTTGAAAAATATTTCACAGAAAAGCTTGATGTATAAAAATACTATATTTTGAGCCAGGTGTGGTGGTGTATGCCTTTAGCTCCAGCGCTTAGGAGGCAGAGGCAGGCAGATCTTTGTGAGTTTGAGGCCAGCCTGGTCTACAGAGCGAGTTCTAGGGCAGCCAGGACTACATAGAGAGACCCTGCCTTTAAAAAACAAAACAACAAACAAAATAGTCAAACAATGGATAAAAATTAATATTTTAATGGGATATAATAATACATGTAGTTCTTACTGAAAATAAATTCTGGAGAAAGATTACAATAAAACAATTTTAAAGTGTCCTGCCTTGGGAAAACAAAAATTAAAAAAATAAAAATAAAAAAACCCAAAACTTTGGCTACTTAAAGTAGGCACGAGGCAGGCTTTCTCCAAGTGCCTGTGGTGTACCATGATGTATATAGCGATTAACTTTCCCTGGAAGTTCATAGGAGGAGTGGCTGTAGTTTGATGTCCCTCTCTCTGTGTGCTTTGTCCAGGGCAAGCTGGTTGGAATCTGTGGCAGTGTGGGAAGTGGAAAAACCTCTCTCATTTCAGCCATCTTAGGCCAGGTAAGATTTTTGTTATTTCCTTGGTCTTTCCTGCTTCTTTCTCAGGCTCTGCTCAGATGTCTCAGGAAAAACAAACTCAACTACTGAAGAGACAGTAGAGGTGGGGACAATGGGACAGTGGTCTATGCCGTGCCTCTTAATCAATGAGCTTTTACCAGCCTTGTGTCTGCAAGGGGCACAATAAATACCCGATGAGTGGCAAATAGATGCGGCACCGGCGTCATTTGTTCCCGGTGCCTTTTCTTATCCAGGAAGTACTGGATGCCGCGGGTGTGTGAGGGGTAGAAGTAGCAGGGAAGAGAGATGACCACACACTGCCGCAGCAGCAGAGTGATTAAGGGAGCCCCCACAGTTGGATTCCGAAGCACAGTCACTTGATCCTCATCCTAGAGTCCACGGTGGTTATTCCTTCAGGGAGTTCATTTCCAGAGAGAGGCTCAGTCATCTAGATACACAAGTACATCAGGAGACAGCGAGTGAAGAGTGTAGGGGGCCTCGCAGATGCTTTCCGTACTGTGAGGGAGGGAGGAAGGGTGAGCGCAGATTCTCCGAGTGCATGGAACCCAGTTATCAGAGAAAAGCAGGTACCTGCATGCCTTTAAACAAGGATTAACTCGCTTACTTAGACGCAGATGAGGATAGGCGTGCGGTTTTTGCTACCTCCTGATAGATGGGGCCTTCTGAAACTCACTTGTGTTAGGACAGTGAGACCTCTATATTGGGGACAGTTTCCTTGTCTTTTTTGGTACCAGCCATCATGGTGTGCTATGGTCCTCCTCGAGCGTGGGACTGTGTTCTGCTTTATTATTTATACACTCCCATCCTGTTGGTGTTTGTAAAAAGCAAAAGCCTGTTAGGTGTTTTCTCATAATCAGCCAAATTTGAGGACCTGTGAGGACCTGTGATGACACTGGGGCTCATGGGAGCAGGACAGGTCATTTTCAAAGTGCTATTTAATGCTTACAAGATGCTGCATTTTCTTGGGGGTGATTGGGCAGTAGTTAAGCTTAAACCAAGTGGGTTTTGGCTTTTGTGGAACAAACCCTGGCAGCCTGTCTGACTAGAGGATGATAGTGCTGGTCATTCCCTTTCCCTACCCTTTCTTTAGAGTGTAGCTCTTAGCTGACAGTGTTGCTACGAGCAGCCAGGAGAGGTAGACTTGTGAACAGGTTTGTGCATAGCAGATTGCTTGTCAGTTTGTAGACAGGTAAGCCTGCATACACACGCGGTGCTGTTCACCCGGACAGGCTTATTTGTCAAACACTCCATGCACTGATTAATGAGGCTTTGCTTCACAGTGTTAGCATCCTCTACTCAGAACAGAAGTCTGCTGTTGGTGTCAAAGGAACCATGGCAAAACTGCTGGATCAGTTCAAATCAGGCTCTGATGGAAAACACATCAAAGCCATGGCTCGTCATGTAGCCTCTGCATGTTGGAAGGAAGATTGCTAATCTTTATTTAAATGCTGTTCACGTCGATTGCTAGCTAACCTGGAATTCTCTTTCCTCTCTGGTCCTCGCTTCACAGAAGGAGCTGGTCTAGTCAACATCTTGGATGAGTCAGGTAGATAAGTTGGCCACCTTCCCCTGGTGACTCTGGCTGTAAATTTTTATGGCACCCTCCACAGGGAACTTCAAAAAAGGCCTTCTTGCTTGTTGTATTAGTCAGGGTTCTCTAGAGGAACTGAACTGATAGAATGGATATATATGTATATATATTCATAATATGTAAGTATGTGTTTATTAGAATGACTTACATGCTGTGTTCCTTCTGGCTAGTCCAACAGTGGCTGTCTCCCAGTGGAAGGGTCAGAATCCATTAGCTGTTCATTCCACCAGACTGGATGTCTCAGTGGCTTTCAGTCTACATTTGAATCCTGAAACAGGTTTAATACCAGCCAAGTAATGCCTCAGCCGTGGGATGAATGGACTTGCCAACAGTGAGGGCAAGCAGGCAAAAAGTAAAAGCTTCCTTGTTCCATGTCCTTTTCCGTGGGCTACCACCAGAAGTTGGAAGCCAGAACTAGGGTGGGTCTCCAGCCCTCAAATGATTCAGATTTAGAGTGAGTCTCTCCACATCAAATGATCCAGTCAAGAATCCCTCCCAGATGCTTGGGTTTTGGTTGCTTCCAATGTAGTCAAGCTGAAAAACAAGATTACCCATCACAAGTCCACTTGACACAGTCACATCACGCTTACTTTCTGTAGAAAACACAGTAACTAGGTCATAATTTAAACTATTTTAAACTAGGTGGCAATATCCTTTGAGGAATGCTTGGTCTTTTGGTGTCTGATAGCATAGTGTGGTAACTGCTGTTATTATTTCAGCCCAGGGTACATTACATGGAGAAGAAATAAAACACAAATACCATTTAATGTAGATGTATACATGCACTAGCACATTCTTAACAAGATAGAAACACTCATGTCAGTGATAGTCTAAGTTTTAGCAACTGGTTCCATGGCCTTAGATAGTATTTATGACTACCTTCATTTACTGCCCTTTCTGCATTTCCTCCATCCTCAGACAGCACCTCAGCTGGTCTTGACTTTCATAGAGGAGTGACCCATACTTCCATTTCTGAAGGGCGTGTGCCTTTTGCCATCCTGCATGGATAGACACCCTAAAATATCTTCTGCACTCGGGACATAATCCTCTTTGCCTCCTTTGTTGAGAGGCAATCCAGTTTCCTTCAGGTAATCTGGATCAATCACTCCACCTAACACTGTTAATCCGTTCTCAGCCTGTTGGCTTAAGGGTGCCAGAAGTACTCAGTGGCTGGGGGTGGGGGCTCTGGACTTCTGGTACAGTAGAATGTTTATTGTGTCTCCAAGCAGGAGTGCCCCACCATCTGGAACCAAAACTTCTAGGCCATCAGAACCGAAGGTCTCAGAAACGGAATCAGAAATTTACCTAGTGGGTCACTAGGGATGATGAGTGGAACTGTTCCCTTTTCAGCCCCTTGATTCCTGGTCCTGTGGATTCTGGTTATAGGAAAACTGTACCATGTCTTGAATGCTGATTCAAAGCATATACCTGCTTCTGGAGAACCTTAACCCAGGCCTCTAGCCTTTTGCAACCGAGTTGGCACTGTGTCTTCAAAAGGCTGTTTGATTGTTCTATCAGGCCAGCTGCTTCAGGATGGTGGGAAGCATGGTAAAAACCAGTGAATTCCATGAACCTGGATCCACTGCCCTACTTCTGACTGTGAAGAGGTTTTCCTCGTCAGAAGCAGTGCTGTGTGGAATACTATGGTGGTAGATGGGTATTGTATTGTCCATGGATGGTGGTTTCGGCAGAGCATCCTGTACAGGAAAGACAAATCTACAGCCATGTAGAAGGAGCAGTGGGCTGCGTTCCTGCCACCTGGCTCTCAGCCGCCTGGCTAGCTTATGACCCGAAATAACAACACACAAATTGTATTCTTTTAAACACTGCTTGGCCCATTATATCTAGCCTCTTCTTGGTTAACTTTCATATCTTGCTTAACCCATTTCTAATAATCTGTGTAGCACCACGAGGTGGTATCTTACCAGGAAAGATTCAGTATGTCTGACCTGGCGGCTGGATCCATGGCATCTGACCCAGAGAGGAGAGGCATGGCATCTGGCTCACTTCCCTTCTTCCCAGCATTCTGTTCTGTCTACTCCACCTACCTAATTTTCTGACCTATCAGGCCAAGCAGTTTTCTTTATTGATTAATCAATGAAACAACAAATTGACAATGAACTCCCACATCACAGCCAGAGTGAAGTTTCTGTTCTGTAATGGCAGAGTGTTGCCCTTTCCTCAAAGGAAGAGGTCCAGTGTCAAGCTGTTCCCAGGACACTGGCTGGTCACCCCAGAGAATGGTGCCTGCCGTATTGGGAGTGCTCAGTGTTGGTCTCTCCTGCTGGCAGATCTGGTGCGCAGCCGCAGCTGTAGGCAGGTCAACCTTGCTAAGTGGAAATCCTTGATGTTCCACCCATGCATAGTGTTTTACCTGTGTTCTATTGCTGGGAAGAGAGACATGACAAAGATAACAACTCTTATCAAAGAAAAATTTCATTGGAGGAGAGACACTTCCTCCAAGAAGGCCACACCTCTTAGTCCTTCCCAAACAGTTCCACAACTAGGGCCCAAGTAGTCACACATAGGAGCCTTTGGGGCCCATTTCCATTCAGACCACCACATATAGCCTCCATTGCTGCTACTGTGGCCACTTTGTTCATGTACCCATTGGGCAGTGACAGCTGGGACAAAGCTGGCTGTTGACAGGACAGGTCATCCTGTCACTTGATTATTGAACTCCTCCATCTGAAGTCATTTTTTTTTTTTTTAGCATTTACATGTGACAACAAGTGTCGCCACATACTTTGTTTATTTGGAGAGATCTGTCCACATTCTTCTTCCCTAAACGTTTTCCTAACATTTTCCAATTATGCTCTTTCCAAGTCCATGATCATCCAGTCAATTTATTGGATATAGATCATGAATAGTAAATTACACTTCTGGCCATTCTCCTTCCAGGCAGAATGTATAACCATGTGTACTGCCTGAAGTTCTGCCCACTCTGAAGATTTCCCTTCACTGGTATCTTTTGGGGTTGTTGCAGAAAGAGGTGGTAATGCTTCAGCTGTCCACTTCTGAGTGGTACCTGCATAATGTGCAGAACCATGAGTAAACCAGGCCCTCGTCTTATCTTCCTTCGTCAGCTAATCTAGGGCACACCCTATGAGGCTATAGGTGCATGCTGGGAGCAGACTGTTTTAACAGGAGTAGAAACCAGAAGCAGTGGGTAACTTCTTCCTGTATCTTGGTTGGGTTCTCAGGATCTGCTCAGGCCCAATCATGTCTGTTCTACTTTTGTTTGGTAAAGGATTGCTGCTGTGCACGTCCTACTTCATGGCTCGTGGGTCAGATAACACCCTGCTCATGGTACACAGCTCAGTTGCATGGTACTGGGTAATCTATTGTAATGTTCATTTTCCACTAATGCCCAATAGCAGTCAAAAGACTG